ACTTATTTTTCTTTTGCTGGAAAGAATAAGGAATAAATTTTGTTCTATTTTGGATTCACTATGAGATACTGCAAATTTTTAGACACTTCTGTTTGCCATTAGATTTAATGTGAAAATTCCTATCTTTCCTTCTTCACCCTTATGATTGTCACAGTACTGCTGGCAGCTTTGCTTTTATTTTTTTAACACATTTATTAAATACTGCAGGACTAGAGCACAAAAGCAGGAAGAGAAATGACTGTGGCTTCACAGGATCACATGCAGCTTGTAAGAGACACTATCAAGCCAGTTCCACAAGGGGATCCCCTTCCCCAGCCTCCTTTGCAACCACAAAACACAGAGATAAGAGAAAAATAGAAATTTTAGCTTTAAAATCCCAAATGTCAGAAAAAAATCCACTATGTAAAGTAAACCAAAGGCTTTTTCTGTATTTCACACTCATGTGAGAATAGCCAATTAAAAGAAATATTCCCAATAGGTCTAGGAAACAGATCATACCCCACAATAAAGACAAGAAAAAATTCCAGTGACCCTAACAGAAAATACCCTTCTCAAGTCCATATGTGGCAAGATATTACTTCCCAAGAAAACCAAATGAATACATTTTTGCCTGCTTTTTAACTGTGCAAACTTGTAACACAACATTCTTTTTCCATGGTGGTTTTGCAGTAATTGCTTCCAGCCTATGGAAGTGCTCTAAGTCACTCAGCTGATCACCATACAGAGAGCAACCAAAACATGGTGGGATGTGGATGAATCTGTTTGTTTTCCTTCTCAAAATAAAATCAAGTTAAAAACAATTTCTGCACAGAAACAGTCATAACTAATGGTTACAATGGTTTTCCCCATCTGTCCACATTCCAGGGCAAGATTAGCTTTTATCCAGTAAAGATGAAAAACAGTGAACCTGTGTAGACTTCCTTTAAGACAAAGTATAATTATAAAGTCATTAAAATCAAGGGAAAGGAGTAATTCACTAATATTTCTTTACAGGTAACATCTTGTATGCCCTGAAAAAATCAGCTTTCTCACTAAAATTTTAATAAGCCCTTGGGTTTCCTTTGAAACATTTAAGAATAGCTGGTAAGAAAACAATTAGAAATGAACAGATGTTAAAACCTATGAATATATACACTTCCATATTTTAAAATAAAAACATCTTGTACTAACTGTGATTGTATAGAAGACCAACAGGAAAAAAAAAAAACAAGAAACAAGTCTGCTCCTATTTTTGTTTGCTCCTCCTGTACTTTGCAATAATGCACTGTTAGGTAGATGTTCTGTACTGGAAAGTGTCAAGCGCTATTAAAAAGAAAAAATTGACTTGCACTGCATTATGGTTTTCACCACTCAAGCTGTTTTTAAAGCACAAATTATTTCTGGCTTTGCTTTGAATAAATTATGGATAGCACATATTGGAAAAGTTGCTTGGACCACGCAGTGCAGTTGTGTGTGTGCTTTGCAGCTTTGGTAGTTCTGGTAGCTGGCACCGTGGCACACTGGTCTGGATATGAACAAAGCAAACATTCGTGTGGAAACAGAATACAGCAGCAGAGAGGCCAAACTTCAGTTAAAATCCCCTTTAAATTGAGAGTTAATTGAAGAATTAAATGAATCCTTGAGGATTTCATTTATTTATTTAAATTTCCATTTCGTAACAGAAATGTGATGCCCCCAGAAATGAATTAGTGAAAGATTATTGTACCACTGAGGTAGTTACACTACTACACTCTTCAGCTCATTCCCAACTACACCTCTGACATCAGGAGTATATTTAAAAAGGGATTAATGCCTGTTGTGCCTTATTGTTTAACTACACATTGACTACAGAGAACGCTAACACATAATATAATACCAAAATCCTCAACATTTCTTTTTCATCACAGAGCTCAATGGGTAACTACCACTTCCAGAACATGTCATTTAAAACTCATTGAATTTATTTAAGTATCTACATTACCCAGCTACCAAACACCACAAAATAAGAGATGCTGCACTCACTTCTGAGCTCACAGCACATCCAGGGCACGGTGTGTGAGGTGGCAGGCAGGCTCCTAATGCACCTCTGCTGCAGAGAGAGCTTGAGCCTCAGCTCTGTCCCTGTGCCTGTGACAAGGGGAGGGCACAGCAGGAGCAGGGACCAGCCCAGGTGTGAGAGGGCACCAGCACAAAGGCCACTGCTCATGGCTCAGCTTCACCACCTGGTGAAAGGCTGTGCCTGACACAGCCCTGCACTGCACAAATACAGCCTCACTACAACCAGCTGGATGGAAACTCATTTTCTGTTCAAACTGCTGGAAACCTGCCTGATCCACTGATGTGAGTTTGACACTAGTTAGCTTACAAGTGGCAACCTCTGTAGTTCAAAACACAACAAGCTTAATAGGAGGGATTATCTAGAGCTTTGTAACTGATCATTTAAAAAACAAAGCCCCTGCCTCACTTGTTGTACAACTGCAAATTTGCATAGAGGTTGTACTACAGGCAAGTTTTAAAGGAATTTAAATTGATACAAAAGAAAATTTAGATAACTCTCACTTTTATCACCAATTCTCACTTCCAAATTATCTTAGGTGTTTTCTTAACCACATACAAATATGCCTACACAATTGTTTAAACCATTTTTACCTGATCTGCTTCATTTTACAGCAGAGCATTCAGGAGGGATGCAGGTACCCAAATGAAGACATTTAGTGCTATTTTAGATGCCTGAGGGCATCTCACCCTGGCTCCCAACCGCTGCTAAAAACGGCATTAAGTCATCTGTCACATCTGCTAGCCCTGACAGATGTCTCAGGTACCCAAAGCATTCAAAATGGCATTAGATATCTATGTTTAGGCTTCCGAATCTTTCCCTTGGTGCCTAGAGAAAGTGCAAACGAGGGGGAGAATTGGTGTCCTGGAGTCTGTCATTTATCTCAAACACAAGCGGTACAGAAGCAGCAGGAGTGTGAAATCTTTACATTGTCTCACTAATCTATGTTTCTACTCTGCTCCCCCAGATCAATCTGTGCCAAAACTATACAGTATGTTGTGCATTATTATAAGCAAAAGCTATTGCAATGAGGAAAGCTAGAACAGATTTTGGAGGGTAATAGCATTTCCAAAAAAATCAAACTGGATTTGCATGAGAGAGAAGGATGAAACGCCCTTCTTCAACCACAATTCAAGTGGAATCAGCTTCTTGCTCATTTCTCTCACAATTTATTTGTGGCACAGCACGGGAAAAAAATAACGATTATTTTTTTTCTCCCTGCATATTTTACATATTCATGCTCCCTGCAACATAGCACCATGTTGACACCTCTATCTGGACAATCCATAAAGAACAATCAGAAACAAGATCATGACAAAGAGTCTGAAAATCTGCTGTCCCAAATTTACCTCCATCTCATCCAGTTGAAATGAAAAAATGAGCTCAGAATACTGCAGCAATTAATATTTTTTCCATATCTAGTGTCTTCAGGCATACAAAAGGGTTTCTTATAAGGTACTACAAATTCTTCCTGGGCTTCTACTTTGAAATTTACTTATGTGGAGTTTATTATTCAGGCTTGAATAGTCTTCTAAAGGTTATCCCAAACAAAGCTACATAATGTGCCTATTTTACAGCACCTTCTGCCTCCAATTTTTTTGAGGTGTAGATTAAGAGATTTCCATGTAATTTTTTAAGCTAGTTTTAAATTATTATTTAAAAAAACAACAACAAAAAAACCAAACAACCCAAACAAACATGCAAATAATTAAAAAAACAAAACCCAAAGTAAATAACACTCCTGCCCCTAAAAAAGCCCCAAACAAAAGCAAAAAAAGGCATTCTGAATTTCTCCAATTAACCAAAAATTCTATTCCTTTATTTTAAAGTCTTAAAACTGTGCCTCTTTCGTGTCTTTACTTTTACTGTATTTTGGCCTAAATGTTCTTAGTAGCAATACCTTTTGCCAAAATTAAAGCTATCATGGTTCCATACTCATTCATACCCAAAGTAATGCTGTAGGAAAGAAAATAATTTTAAATCACAACAGAAAAAATTACCTCAGACACTTTCTTGGTCACGTGAATTTTCACCAAGACATTAAAATAAATTGTACTCCAAACTGGTTGTGAACAATTGACATTAACCTACCAAGTTTGACAAGAAGTTAATTAAGCCCTGTAATGAAATGCTTAAAAATAACTCATTCATCTCAGAATCCTCACAAGTAATTGCACAGCCCCATATCATTTTCCTGGTTTTACAGTTATTTCTAGATATAAAATATTTGGCATATCCCTTTAACTTTGCATATACATGTACTGCTACAAACACTAACAAAACAAGGAGTTTATTTCCAGGATAGGCTAATTTAGCCATCAGCAATTGAGGAGAACAGGATGTGTGTGCTGTGGAAGCACAAATCCCGAGCCACTGGCAAGCGAGCAGTGGTTCAGAGGTGTCTCGGAGCCCACCCTCAGCCTTAACTACAGAGATGTTCCACATGGGATAACCCTGGGCACCCCACGGGTCTGGGGCAGCCAGGTGACCCAAGGAGCTGCCCAGAGTCACAGCTCAGCTCTCCTGAAAGCTTCCCACACCATGGACACAAAGTCAAGAGTCTCTTCACTGGCAAAGGTATGACATCTCCAAAGCAGGAAGAGAAAAATCAATATTGTGTACAGCAAAGGAAAAAACCCCACAAAACAAAACAAGGTATTTGTTTTCATTTCCAAAAGTTGACTGAGTGCAAGGTCATCAGCTGGCTAGGAAGGAAAATCCACTCACCATCTTGCCATGATATACCACTTTACAAAGCAGATAAGGAAATTTAAGTTCTTTGTGTCCATGCCATGTTATGATGTCACAAAATCATTGTGTCAAAAGAATACCCAGAAAACCAAAACAACCCTGGCTTCCTATAACATAAGACTTGAAAATGGCCCTAAGAAATTTCTCAAATTTTCTACATACTCACATGTCCCACTGTTGAGGATGGAGGGAAAATGAACTTTTCCCTTTAGACCACCTGTCTGAGCTTAAATAAGCTGATTATTGTTATTGTGCTTATATTGCAGCAGCACCTAGATGAAGGATGTATATAATCCTTTAAGGCTCATAATCTGTCTAATAGTCATTTCATGGCTTGTTTGAAACAAGCTGACACTAGCACAACAAATGAAATCTCCTGAACACTCTGCATGAACAATAGCAAAGACTGAAGAAACCTTCAGGCTAATTTATAATTTTTTTTCCTTGCACCTTTTTCTCACCCCAAGAGTACATGTCCAAGATGCACCTACTCAGAATGCAGCTTGTGAATCACAAAAATATCCCCATAACTAGAGGGAAATGTAGAAGATGCTCAGTCTTCAGTTCACTAATGCTGCTCGCACAGACAAGTTCTTACCAGTTCTTCAGGTGAAAGTTTTACAAATATTTTCTTGTTGGAGGCAATACTGATTTTCATGTAGCCTGGGCCTGTGATGAAGATGGATCACTGAATTTCTTCAGCTTATTTTAGTCATATTCAGCTCCCTCATTTAAACTGAAAAACTCAAAAATGTAGGACAATACATTAAGCTGTATTTCCATTCATTAAACGTATAATATTACTGTTATAGCTTTTTTCCCCTTCCCTTCTCCATCCCCCACAAAGCTTCAGAAATCTTCAGCAAAATTACTTTTTCCTACCCACTTGCACAAATTTGGGTTTCTACTACACAATTATCATCATAAAGGAAAAAAAAACAAAGGAGACCAACTTTTTCTAAAAGGAAAACTGAGAGGTTTTTGTTGGGGTATGTTTTGTTTGGGGTTTTTTTTTTGGTTTGTTTTGTTGGGTGTTTCTTTCAAAAACAAACACAAAAATGCCAAGCAATGTTTGCGACTGAAAAGCAATTCAGACTTTCAGCCCACCAATCCTGCTGCAATCATGATGTTGTTAAAGCCCAGGATTTCCAACATGACAGAAATCCTGATTCAGACTCCTCTGTTTCCCAGCAGCACCTGCACATATGCAGGAGTTTCCTCAGCAGCCCAGGAATTTGGGCAGTCCAACACTGACTTGACAAAGCTGCCAACACATCCTGATCTCCATTAGCTCAAGGCTGCCAAATCCAAACCACCACACAATGCCAGAATGAAACCTGGAAGAATTAAGAACATTAAGAAGTGACAGAGGTGCCTCCATCCAGCTCCCAACGTTTTGCAAGTTTTCCAGCCAGGGTCTCCCTTTCTTTGCACATCTCTCACACTGGAGGCTTCCAGGACACACCCACACTGAAGAGCACCCCAGGCTTCAACAGAGTGAAAATACATGTGCAGGTTAAAGCTCTTGGCAAAAGCAAAGGTTCCATCTGTCCCCAAGATCTATCTACAAGCATGACCCCCAACACATGGAAATGAAATATCATCCTCATTCAAAAGACTGAGCTAGATATGAGTATTCATTAATATGAATAATTCATCGTAAAAGACATGGGGATTTGGAAAATCTTATTTCCATGTAATGATTTAAATTCTATACTAGACATCAAGTTTAGATAAAAATGTGGTTTTTAGTAAGTTACTGGTATCACCAACATTGCATGTTTTTGTGGCTTTCTGGATTTTTCCAAGGTAAGAAACAGCTGATCAGGTTTGCCACTACATTTTATAAATTTTGTAAACATATATTTACAGGAAACAGGGCACCTATCTCTGTATGCTCCAATTCTCACAACACTGATCTGGTCTTATAAAATATTTTGCTGTAAATATCACATATAATTTCAGTTTTTGTTGTTGAGTTTTTCCTGGAGTTTTTTTTGGTTTTCCACATCAAGAGGACAATATTGAATAAGAAAACTGTAATGAATTACAGACCAGACAGATGAAGAAAGAAAACTAAGTGAGCCATTACAGATTTTATACTCCTTTATCAAACTTTTTTATTTCAGGGGATATAAAATTCCCAACATCGTTTTATGCAGCACAGGAAGCTGCTTTTAAACAGCATATTGTTTTTTGCCTAACCAACTCTTCCACCTTTCACATCACCAAAACCCAAAGATTTACAATAATAAAGTGACACTAGAGGAGTTTGTATCAGCAGCCAGAGGTGCACATTTCAGCCAGTACAGATACAGTTAAGAGGAAGGCTTCGTTGTAAAGCAAAATAATGTGCATAATTCAGCAGCTATGCCATTCCACACACATATAATTAACAAGTCTTCAGCTCATTAGCAGGCTGTATAAAATACATATAATATGCTGTGCAAAACTGATTGAGAATAAAAAGCTCCTCATGCATTAAAATAAATTATTTAAATTGTTTTGAAAGATTGCTATCAGTAGCATTCAAGGATATGATTCCCAAACCTACTCATGGCTCCAGCCTCTCCAGCCTGATATTTTCACCAGCTATCTTGCCGTGCTCATTCCAGCAGGATGCATTGGATCAGTGACTGCTGAGGTTCTGCTACAGCCCTGAGAGGTGAATGGGACAAACAGCACAAACACTGCCCAGGTAGCCCCATGTACACACAGATTCCCACACACTCCCTAGGGATGCAGAAAGGGCCTTTTTGGGGAGCAGCACACTCAGTACACGTTAGTACATCTTCTCTTTAGTAGTCTGTACACCAATTAATGATCTGCACAGTCTCAGTGCTGCCCCTCCAGCTACAGAGGGCCGAGCCCCACTGCACCCACACTGCCCGCACTCAGAGGAGACCCTGACACCATAAAAACGGGTCTCAAGGGATGAAATAGTTACTCCTGAGCTGTAGTGACATCTCCTGGCAACAAATCGAGGTGGTCTTTTCCCACACAGTGTGCTCTCTCCAGAAAACTCTGGAGGGTTCCAGCCAAAAGGCAACAGTCATGGTGCTCCCTCCAGCCCAGCTCCCATGGCACAGTGCCCAGAATACCAAGCAGAACCTCCTGATTTACAAGGACTGCTGACATTTTAGAAAGCAAGAGGCTAAGATACAGGAACATCAGCTCTAAGATCTCTGGATTTATTGTAGCACACATTGGCCTTTCTTGAGTGGTTGGAAAAATTGCTGCAAAAGCTAATCAACTAGCAGCTTAATTCATACCATGAATCTTGCAAAGTGTTTTCTCACTTCACTGTGAAGCCCTGTCTGTTTGCTAAGAGTTTATACCTCTGCCCTCCATGGACTCCTGACAAATATTGTAAGCATGGTTTTGGTAAAAAGAATGTAAGTTAAGCTGTCTTTTTTTCTTCTATGTTAAGACTACCTATAACCCAAACATCAAAATATGCAGAAAAAACATTTCTCGCTTCTTCAGTGTAGACAACAAAGTCAGTGCAAGTTGTAAATTCTTCAGAAAGAGATGATAATAAATACATTGAATATCATTGTAGTGGAAGTGAAATTGTTTATAGAAGTTTAGAACCGTGGACTCAGAGGCAGAGGGACACCCCTGAACCTTAGCAAGATCCCCACACTGAAGAGTCCTGCAGAACTGACAACTCAAATATTTATATTCAAGTGAAAGTCAGAGAGTAAATGTGTTTGATAGTCTAAGTTTAGCTTGTTGACTGTTTTACACAGCAATCTGTGTCCCCCCAGCCCTGGCCAATCACTATACAGAATTCTGGTGAATTTGATTGCTGTCATTATATTATCCCTGTGGTATTTTTTGTGTTGCCTTTATACAGTACAATTTTCTTTATACTTGCATAATAATAGAAATCTGAATTTTTGCTTGTTTTCTTTTGTGTTGTTTTCTCCCCCCACCCCAACTCTTCAGAGGCAATTACAACAATTTAAAGTACTTTGCATATGCTGCAAGGCAATCAAGAAAATTCATTTGACAAACTGGATTACAACTGTCTGCCAGAAAGCAAAGTGGTGAAAACATTTCCAACAATTTCTCAATGAGTATGTCTGGTAGATGCTCAAAGCACACTGAAATAATGCACAAGGAAGAAGAGTTCTACATTTACAGTTTCAATAAAGCAAAAAGCCTCATGAAAATTATGTATTTCTACTCATCACATCTAAAGTTAAACTATAAAACTCTTTTAAACAACTGAAAGCCTAAGAAGGTAAATCCCCTTCTGCAAATAATTTCCCATTTTCAGAAATTCCATACCCACAGATCATGAGTTGAACCATGTGTGTGAACATTTCTACAAGGTAGAGTGGTTGCAGAGCAGTGTTACTTCTCAGACTGCAGTGCTCTCAGATTTAACTGCATTTTATCTTCAACTCCAGCTTATTCTCAAGCCAGTAAATACCTACACACATACCAATCTCTTCCACTCTCTGCACCCATCCATCACCATTGTGAGTAATGCAGTCATCCCAGGCTGGATTGCTATGGAAATCTCTGCTGCCATCATTACCAGGTAATTTCTCCCCCTCACCCACACACCTGTAGACATGCCAGCCTGTGCCCACAGTGCAATAGCTCTGCAGTGTACAGCTCCATCCTCGGAGACAAAGTCACTCCCAGGGACACTGTGCAGGAGTGTACCCTGGGAAATCTCCAAGTGCTCCACAAGCAGGAGTCCTGGGAGCAGTGGAGTGCTCCAGTTGTGTGAATCCACATTGCTCCTCTTACTTGCTTTCAGGCACAGACACATCCCTGCAGGTCAGGGGATCTCTACACCGATTATTCCAGATCACCCCTGGTGTGCCCAAGACAGGACAGGAGCTGTGTGCCCACCCAAAGCTGCCCAACATTCCTTGCCATTACACTGACATTTTACATAAAGGCTTTTTCTTTCCCTTTCTTGCTCTTTTTAAATAAATTATTCATCAGTGATGTAGGATAAAGCAAGGGCTTTAGTTTGCTGTATGCAATTTGCTAAGAGGAAATGGGAATGCTTTAACAGGGACACGTGATGTTTTCCTTGGAGAATCTGAAGGCTTTCCTGTATTGGTGAAACGACTTGACATTTGATCAAAACAAAATAATTTTTAATGTGTCCTCGTGACAAAGACTAATGCTTCACACGGAAAAAGAAAAACTTGCTACTTTCTAAGTGTGGGAAATTCTCCTTTGCGTTTAGAGTTAAACAGCTGTTTTCTCTGGAAATTCAGCATGTGTTCAACACATTTTATCTTACATATTCAGGGACATGGAAAAACCCTCCCCAGATTTAATTGTGTGGATTTTTTTTTAAATTTGGTGGCACTATCCAGGCAATGAGCAGGAAAAGCTTCTCTCTTCAAGCAGTTTGGAGAAAGAGCAGAGTTTTGTCCATTTTCAAATAAGAAAAATATTTAACTCACTGCCAGAATAGGAGTGAGAGATCTAAGGAGACTGTCGAAAAAACAGTTTAGTTTTAGTTTAGAATAAATGAGGATTTGGATACTTGACTTTTTGACTACCATTCATATACTGGGATTTTTCACTGTTTATGCTCTTTCATGAAACAAAAAGGCATTAGAACTTTCACTAAAAACACACATTTTCATGCTAATAATGTTTATGTAATTTCTCATTTATAGCTGAAAAGTCTCATCTTGATCTTCTGCTTTGTGAAATAAATGGTTGATTTCCTTTCCTTCTGAAGGCAATTTTTCTTTTTAATTTTACAGCCTCAGACAGGTTCATTCACCTGCTCTTTGAATTATGAGAAAGTGAAAAAAGTAATACTTACTTGAAATGACAAAGTGTAAGTGGGCCTCCCTCACCTCAACCCCAATTCAAAGATGCTGAACTTTATGATCTGACATTTTCAGCTTGGCTATGTCTGATTCTCTACTGTTCATTTTCATTATATGTGAAGAATTCACTCTTTTCCTTACCACACACCAACAGACAAATGAGGTTAAAGCATTCTTAAAGCAGATTCAAGAAATTTGGTCAGTATTGGAATTGTAACAATATTTCCCATTATGAACTAGCAAGACACTACTAGTCACAAAGAAATGCAGGGTGGGACTGCTCCATTTTAGAGCAACTACAAAAAACCCAAAATCTGTACTTCAGCCTCTCCCAAAGAGACTTGTAACACATATTTTAAACCAAAACTAAGCTCTGTAGAGGGAATAGATCTCATGGTTTTGAGCCTTGGAAGACTAGCAAGGGAAAGGGGCAAGGCTGTTGACTCGAGAAGATGGCTCTTTTTGATTTAGAAGCAAACAGAATTCATCAGCAGTTTGTCAGTTACCTTTTTAACAAAGAAAATTAGGGTCACATATGTCTCAGCCATTCTGTGCAATGGTTCTGCTCTCACCCACGGGATCCAATTCTGCTGCTTTCAAGAACATGGATGTATTGCCTGCTTTCATACTAACATTACTTGTCATGATGAACCCTCTTCTCAGAGAAAACTTCATGTGCAGTGTTAGTGGCATGAAAATTCAAGTTCAGAAACATAATACCAGTTACAGATACATGCTATAGCTGGATACAGAAAATATGTGCTGTCACATTGTCATGACTAGCTTTGAAGTGGGAGAAAAAGTTGTAGGTGTAAAGAGATCTTAGAGCTAGTGAACAAACCAAACAGTTGGAGTACAAGGAATTGGGTTCTTTGGGTAGACTAAAAGAGACAGAAGTGGTGTATCAGCAGGAAACATAAGGATTAAGGAATACGAAATATTTCTGAGAACTGAAGGAATATGATCAAAACCAGAAGTCACAAAATAAAGGTAAAAGTGGACCTTATAAAGGGAATTACAACCCAGCAGAACAGGCAGGGTGGATTCAGCAGAAGCTAACCTCACTGAAAAAGGTCAGAGATACTGAAAGGGGAGCTCCCGCTAGTGAAACAAAGTTAAGAATATGTAATTGAAGCTGCTTAAAAGTCCTACTGCAAAACTGATAGGAACTCCTCCTGCTCTGGAAGAAAGGACTCAAAAGCTTCTCTTCCAAGAGGAGATCTTTCCTACTTAAGCTAAAGAAGCAGACCCTTGGCTAACAGCAGCATAAGCACTTACTGCGTTTGCAGGCCTGCCACGGGAGTAGAACACACTGAGAAATACAATGACTCTTCCTTGCCAAAAAAGGCTTGTCTCAAACATCTGAATTGTATGATAAAGTCAAGTGATCTTCAGCTTCCAAGGGAAGAAACAGTTGTTTTATGCCATCAAAAATAATACTCCTCCAAACCCCTCCTTCATTCTCTCACTGAATAACATTCATTTCTAGCTGTGAGACACTGCCCAGTATCAGCCTTCAAATACGTCATCTTTCTTTTCCCTTCCCTTCCTTTGATTAACAATTATGTTGAAGATTTTTCTGGTTTTCTAGACACCATTTACATTAGTTCACAATTAAAGTATCCACAATATCACCATAATTTGAGACACAGACTTTTCTCCCAAAACTTCCTGTACCTGCCATGCTTACTGACTGTCCTTGTCTGGAAGAGATGAGCATTAAGCACTTCCTTGAGGGACCAACAATACTTGCTTACTTCAGATCAAACCTAGGACTGCCTTTATGACCTACAGCTCCCACAGATGTGCACTTCTGCAGTTTTCTCTTTCACCACAATGCATTCAAGGAGAATCACCTGGAGTATCAGAAATAATCAATATAGCTGTAGTATGGCACAGAAAACCAACAGATAAATTGGTATGTATTCTCCAGCCCGTGTTTTATCATCTGCCATTAACATTGTCACTTATAAAAGGGTCTCCTGCATTTTGAATCCACTTGGGTTTGAGTTAATTTAAAAATACAGTGCCAAGGCAGGAATTAATTCCCAAGATAAAGGTTTANCAACTGCTCACTAAGATCTGGCCAAAGGAAGACCAGTCATCATGCATGTATGTTCTACTTCCTACAGAATTAAATACAGTATTTAAAAATAAATTAAAACCAGTTGTAAAGAGCAGCAGAATTCAATAATAACTTTTCAGTACCTCTCCTTGGTGAGCAGCAGAGGATGTGATCCTCCACACACTCCATCACCATCCCCAAAGGAACCACCCAGTTTTGTTTTGACCCTGAGCACAACAGGGGCTGCCCTCCACCTGTCCCTGGCTGTGGCCAGCACCTCTGCTGAGCTCTCACAGGACCCAGGAGGAGGTGGGATGAAACTGAACTCCAGAGACCCACGTGTTTCAAAGAAACCCATTTTTGGAAAGTGACAGTCTGACAGTCCACAGCGTGCAGTGCCAAGTATAGCCATGAACTGAGGCATTCAAAAGCTGTAAATTGGTTTGGGCCTATAAATACAGAGCCTTTCC